CCACGAACGCACGAAGCACATTGAGATTGATTGTCACTTCGTTCGTGATGAGCTCTTGCGAGGAGAGATTCGTACACTTCATGTGCCTACTACGCATCAGCTTGCAGACATTCATACAAAGGCACTCGGAAAGTCACGTTTGGAGTTTCTTCTTCCCAAGTTGGGCATTTCGTTACTACATGCTCCAACTTGAGGGGGGGTGTTAAAGGAAAGAAAATATTTAGTAGAATATTTGGAGATATTTGTGTATATATTATGTTTGGTAGCTTCCTTGTATAGGGTTGATTTCGTTTCCTTTTGTGATTAGGTCTCTCAATCTGTGAGAGCCTATATATACATGTCTACTTTGTAAATTGAACACAAGAGAGTAATTCAGAAAATTTCCTCCAAAATAATTCTTTCATCCTTTTTTCAAAAATTTTAAATTTTGATTTTTTAAATTACGTTATTAAACATATAACGGTAGACTTTTATTAGATATTTGTTTCCATCTTTAAAAATATAATGGTTCACAAGCTTTGAGTGCCATTTTTTGAAAAAAAAAGTGGATTGTCAAAAAATAATTCGGAGTGCCATGAGAAATATTGTCATTAAAAAAATTATAGTTAATTATAAAAAATTGGTTCAATTTGGTGAAAAGTTGCATTTTCAAAACGTTCGTAATGTGAATTCAGAAAAAGCAATTATACCCAATTAATGAAAAAATAATTTGTAGTGCCAGGTACTGTACAAAAGGATATTATATTAAGAAAAAAACTTGTAATACGAAAAAATGGCAATGTTTATCAAAAGAAAAAAAGTTGTAATAACGTGAATAGTATCTATAGGAATTTTCTCCGGACAGGGCAATCAGAGGAACAAAGCATGTGTAATGAAGGTCAATTGGGATATAGCAAGTAAAAAAGATCTGTTGTGGGTAAGATGGGTCCACGCAAAGTATATTAAAGACTCTGACTTTTGGGCTTACACCCCAAAGAGGGACTGCCCATATTACTGGAAGACGATGAACATTGTAAAAGAACAGTTCAGAGGCTATACGGCTGGGGATGTTTACACGGTGAAGAAAGGATATCTCTGGCTCTTAGATTATGGACATAATGTCGACGGGCATAAATGGGTGTGGTGCAAAGCGTCCCATCCTAAACACCATTTTATCATGTGGCTTGTCAAACATCGAAGGCTACTGATCACTCAAATGCTTTGTTAACACCCTAACAGATTGCGGAATATGTGGGGGCGAAGCAAAAACTTTTGAACACCTGTTTTGGGTCTGCAGGGTCTCATCTAAGGTCTGGGAGAGGGCCTTCCAGCTGCTGGGGTTAAACTACAAACTGAACTCCCTGGACAGCATGGAAGTGGAGTTTGAAAGAATTAATTCGGAGAAAATTCTCTTGTATTTCTTGTGTTTACAATTTACAACCAAGGCATGTATATATAGGTTTTCAGAAGTTGAGAATCCTAATTAACAAAGGAAAGAGAATCCCTATACAAGGAAACTACCAAAACTAATATATACGAAAATATCTCCCAAATACTCCCAAATCAGCTCTTTCCTTTTACACCCTCCCTCAAGTTGGAGCATGTAACGAAGAAATGCTCAACTTGGGTATAAGAAATTCCAGTCGTGACTTCCCAAGTGCCTTTGTGTGAATATATGCAAGCTGATGCGTAATAGGGACATGAAGAGAACGAAATGACATTCCATCTCAATATGCTTCATTCGTTCGTGAAAAACTGGATTGGCGGCGATGTGAAGAGTTGTAGTACTGTCACAGCGAACCGTCATAGGGTTCTTATGCTCAACTCCCAAACATCGTAACAAATTCCTCAACCACTTAAACTCACAAGTGAGAACAGCAAGAGCCTGTACTCAGCCTAAGCAGACGAACGAGCCACCGTTGTCTGCTTCTTTGTCTTCCACGAGACCCGCGATTCGCCCAGTTGTAAAAACCAGCCCATCAGCGAACACCGTGTCAAAGGACATGCTGCCCAATCCGAATCACAACACCCTGTAAGCCGAAGGCTACTTTCTGTAGAGAGAAAAATCCTTTGTCCAGGACATCATTTTAAATAACAGACGACCCCAAGTGCCGCAGTCCACTGATCCTCCCTTGGTTCCTTCAAAAATTGTGCTAAAGTATGCACAGCGTAAGAAAGTTCTGGTCGTGTAACAGAGAGATAGACCAACCTTCCTACCAACCGTCGATATGGCTCTGGATCTGCAAGAACTGGGCCTGCAAGTGATGATTTGGTTCCATCGGGGCACCTAACGGCCTGGCACCTAACAACCCTGCCTCAGTAATGATATCTAAGGCGTACTTTCGTTGGGAGAGAAAAATTCCAGACGTGCTTCTCGCCACCTCAATGCCAAGAAAATATTTCAGTGTCCCCAAATCCTTCATATGAAAACAATCCCCCAGATATGCTTTGAACTTGCTCACCATCTCTGAATTGTCTCCAGCAATAATTAAATCATCAACATAAACCAAAACATGTATTACTCCTTTCTTTCCAACGAAAGAAAACAAGGAGTAATCAGGAACAGACTGCACAAACCATGGCGTTTCAAAGCTCCAGACAACTTGGCAAACCAACACCTTGGAGCTTGTTTCAAACCATACAAAGATTTCTTCCGTTTACACACTACGTTAGAAGAATTGGAAAAACCCGGCGGCAGTCTCATGTACACCTCATCTTCAAGATCTCCATGAAGGAACGCATTGTGCACATCCATCTGATAAAACTCCCAACCTTTCGCAGCTACAACAGCGAGAAGAGTTCGTACTGTAGTTAACTTGACCACAGGAGCAAATGTTTCATTGTAGTCAAGTCCCTCCACCTGATGATGCCAAGTATAACCAATCGGGCCTTATATCTTTCCACACTACCATCGGACTTGCGCTTGATTTTATACACCCACTTGCAGCCAAGGGGCTTTTTATGACGTGGAGGGGCGACAAGCAACCACGTTCCATTAGCCTCCAGTGCATCAATCTCCTCACGCATAGCCTTCCGCCATCGTTCATCTTGGAATGCCTTTTTGAAACTCGTGGGATCCACTTCCTCGTCGAGTGCCGTGAGAAAACACTTGTGTTTATCAGAAAACTTCTCATAAGTGACATATGAGGAAAGTGGATATCTGCACCTGTCCCTGCTATGTGGTCTAGTGACATGTGTAACATAATCCGCAAGCCTCACATTCGAACGTCTTTCCCGTTAACAACGCCCTAGGGTCTCCACTGCTTGCTGGGAACTGGACGGTCTACCGCCATTCGTGGAACGGTCCACGGGGTTGACCGTTTGTAGCTGCGCTGGATCATCAAGTTTCTGCCTCGGGGACGGTCGACCGCCATCCGTGGAACGGTCGACGGGGTCGACTGTCTGTAGCTGCGCTGGATCAACAAGTTTCTTCCTCGGAGACGGTCGACCGTCCTCTATGACGCGGTCGACCGTTGATGCATCTCTTGGAGACCCGTCATACTACTCCTCCGATGGTCGACCGTGGTCATCAGCACGGTCCACTAGGTCGACCGTCCGTTGCTCTTCTGTGTCTCCATTTCCCGGCAGTCAGCCGTTCCTCAAGGAACGGTCCAGATGGTCCTCCGCGAATAGTTCTTCAGCATCTTCAAAATAATCAATGGTTGGGTTGCTTCTTAATGCGTCTTCTTTTGATGTTCACCTGTGGAAAACAAGAAAGGAAAAATGTCTTCACAGAACACAACATCTCGGGACACACTAATCTTTCCAGTGTCCGGAAAATAAACGCGCCATCCCTTCTTCCCTTGTGGATAACCCAAAAATATTCCAGGAATACTTCTGGGTTCAAATTTGTCTCCATCCCTCTTTAAATTGTGGACATAACATCTGTAACCAAAAACACGAATGTGAGTCAGCGGCGGTGACCTCCCATAAAGCCTTTCATACGGCGTCACCCCCTAGCAGCGACGAGGGTGTCCGATGGATCAAATAGGCTGCAGTTTGTATACAGTCCCCCCAGAATTCGATTGGAAGACCAGCTTGAAATCTCAGAGCACGACCCAGATTCAGAATATGCCGATGTTTACGTTCCACTCTACCATTTTGCTGTGGTGTAGACACACAAGATGTCTCGTGAACAATTCATTTTTCCGGGAAGTATTCATTCAAGCACTCATACTCTGTACCATTATCACTACGAACACACTTTATTTTCTTCTCAAACTGGCATTCAATCATGGCACAAAATTGTTTGAAGACACTTCCTACAGTACGCTTAGAATCAAGCAAGTATACCCATACACCACGCGAAAAATCATCTACAATAGTCAAAAACATCGTAGATCCATCCAAACTCGGCGTCCGATAGGGAACCCACAAATCACAATGCACCATATCAAATTTATTCATAGATTGATGAAAACTAATGGGAAAACTAGCACGAGTTTAATTTGTTTGGCACGTAAATAGACATCACAATGACTATGACTACTCTTATTCGATCCAACTACAGGAACTAAGGATAAAACATGTGAAGAAGGATGTCCTAAACGTTTGTGCCAAAGGTCAAAAGAATTCTCCTTCGTAGCACTGCACACCATTCTCCTTTCCTCCTTCTTTAAATAGTATAGTCCTCCTTGTCTACCCACACCAATCGTTTTCCTTAACCTTAGGTCCTGTAAGATACACAAATCATTGGTGAACTTCACCTCACAATTCATATCCTCTGTCAGCTGTGACACTGAAATCAAATGACAGTTTAAACTTGGAACAAACAACACATTCTGCAAAGTCATAGTCATTGTTAAGTCAACCTTTCCAGATTGACCAACCAGATACAGCCCGTTTTCCATCTGGTAAACTGATTTCACATGGGGATACTCCCACCACATCATATGACAACGACAAATCACCTGTCATATGATTGGACGCACCGGTATCTATTATCCAACGAGGTGATACAGGAATACCTGAAAGTTTTTTAGGAGTATCTGTGGAAGAAAGTGAGAGAGCATGACGAACAACATTCCATTGTTCAAACGTTAAATCCTCGAAATTGGGCAGCGGAGACGTTCCTTCTCCCTGGACCGCGTGCACCTCACTTTGACCGCCCGTGACGGTCGACCGTCTAGCTCCAACGGTCGACCGTCCCGCTCCTCTTCCTAGACCACGGAAGTTCCCTCTTCCACGATTGTTCCCTCTTCCTCTTCAATTCTGATCTCGGAAAATCCATCCCTCTGGGTATCCGATGAGTTTGTTGCATGCCTCAACCTCATGTACTCCTTTGCCACAGTCAGAGCACACAACCTCCTTGACCTCCATCTTGTTCTTCACGGCAAACACGGACGCACCTGCTTCTTTGCTTTCTCCTTTGTGCATCCCATTCCGTGATGTTTCATCTTGGACATGAATATTGTACATTCTTGTCACAGGCGGTATCGTTTCTTGGGCAAGTAAATTTGACCACAAAGTTCCATATAAAGCATCATTCAAGCCCATCAAAAATTGATGAGAATGTTCCCTCTCACGCATCTGCGCAAGCTTCTCCTGCAAGTCGCACATGCAATTCCTACACGTGCACACTGGGAACCGTTCTAAATCTGCAAGATCATCCCACAGCTTCTTCATCTTCCCATTATATTCCATTATGGAAAGATTCTTCTGTTTGCATTCCGCTAAGTCCCGCTTCAACTGCTAAACCCTTGGTCCATTAACAACAGAGAAGCGGGCCTCCAGATCACTCCACAGTTCCGAAGCCTTCTCCACAAAAGATATGCTGGATCTCAAGGCTGGATCGATCGTGTTCCGAATCCAAGAGACCAACAACAAATGGTTTGTCCACCAATCATCAAAATCATCCGAATCGGGGTCAGGCATCCCAATTGTTCCATCAACAAATCCAGACTTCTTGCGTGCTCGAAGAGCCTAACGCAGAGATTCAGACCATTTATCATAATTATCCCCCTTCAGAACAACATGGGTCAGAATCATACCCGGATTATTGTCGCTCGGGGACAAATCATACGGGGAGATGCGTCGACGATGCACTCCAACTTCCTCTTCCTCTCGTTTCTCGTTCTTTTTGTTGGAAATAATCTTCATGCTTACTTCCTCGGACATACCGAATGGCAGATCTACAGCGGAGCGAAATCGCAGCGGCGATTAGAAAGAAACTGTCGTCGGGACGGTCGATGACCTCGACCGTTCTTCACTAACGGTCGACCGTTGCAGCGTCTGGAAGCGGCAGCGAGTGTTTGACCGATGGACGCGATGCCGGTCGATCAAGAGCAGTGGCTGCGGAAAATTTTAGGGTTTAGGCTTTGATACCATGAAAGAATTAATTCGGAGAAAATTCTCTTGTATTTAATTTCTTGTGCTTACAATTTACAACCAAGGCATGTATATATAGGTTCTCACAAGTTGAGAATTCTAATTAACAAAGGAAAGGGAATCCCTATAAAAGGAAATTACCAAAACTAATATATACGAAAATATCTCCCAAATATTC